TGAACTTAACTCAGTGGGTACTGGAGGTTCTTCAATGCGAAATGCCAAATCCAAGTCCATACACCCTAATGTCAAGAGAATTTTGTCCTTCCAATCCAAAAAATTTCCACCACTCAGTGATGGAATGTTAGAAGACTCATTAAATAAAGAGGTAGCAACAACTGCAATAACCAAGAATATAATAAGCACTTTGAAACAATAACTATAAAATTCAATAAAGCAAATTTAAACCTTCCTGTGGGTAGAGGTCATAAACTGTACAAGATTTGCTTATTATTCTTTATAATAAAACTTATGAATTAAAATACTAAGGAACAAAGGATCCCAAACCTGTGAATATAAGGTATCTCAAGCCCTTAATACCCAATTCAATATCTTATTCCAATTAAGTAGTATAAAATAAATACTTCCCTGTGGGGTCAAGTAATTATCTATAACAACTTGATCGCAATATGGAGATATTAACCATATACTTAATATGATCAAACTAAATGTTGATCATTAAATAAAATAACTCAAGATGTTGTGGCTATTCTTAAGTTAATATAATATCTCCATGTGACATAGTTCATGACAACTCTTGGATTTAAACAAATGACATTCCTATAACATAGCCATAACAGTAACAACTCTTGGATTTAAACAAGTGGCATTCCTATGACATGCATAACACTTTAATGATATTTTGATAATATCAATGCTTGCCAATATAATAAAATAAGTGCCACTGTTCCTGTAACATGCCACTGTTTTTGTTTATAGCTAAATTCAATCTTTTGAGCCTTAATGATCACATTAAAACCAAATTAATATAATAAAATAAGTGATTCCAAAAATATGAAAATTAAATCAGATGAACCAGATATAGGTTGTTCATGTGAATCAATGTAGGCTTGAAATCAGTACCAATAAAATTATTAATGTGAAAACATAATTCTTGTAGCCTTAATTTGATCGAACATCTTTAATTTTGATCCTGAAAATAGTCACTGTCCTGATACGCACACTGAAATTCAATTGGTGACCAAACCCATTAATTAATTTGAATGAAATTTCACCGAATAACAACACATAATTCTACTGGACATCAAGCATGAGTACAAAAAATCAAAGCAAAACCTTTCCATATAAGACAAAAGTAAAACTCTCATTTTTTTTTTATAACTACCAATTACATATTTTATCCACCTAAAAAGTAGATCTACCATATAGACTCTAGGAAAGATCATAAGTCCTCCATTCTGGAGCTTTAAATGATCAAATTCATTAATTTTAATGGTCAAGGCATGTTTTCATAGGAAATAAAATACAGCAAAATATCTTAACAAACAAAAACGATCAGACGTACGACAGACGGATTGCAAACAAAAATAATTTCTCATAATCATAATAATCGAACAGAATTGACAGAATAATGGCTCTGATACCAATTGATAGACTTTATTGAAAAATTTAATCTTCCTATTTTACATAGCGGAATCGAATACTTACCTCCTGCCANTGATATTTTGATAATATCAATGCTTGCCAATATAATAAAATAAGTGCCACTGTTCCTGTAACATGCCACTGTTTTTGTTTATAGCTAAATTCAATCTTTTGAGCCTTAATGATCACATTAAAACCAAATTAATATAATAAAATAAGTGATTCCAAAAATATGAAAATTAAATCAGATGAACCAGATATAGGTTGTTCATGTGAATCAATGTAGGCTTGAAATCAGTACCAATAAAATTATTAATGTGAAAACATAATTCTTGTAGCCTTAATTTGATCGAACATCTTTAATTTTGATCCTGAAAATAGTCACTGTCCTGATACGCACACTGAAATTCAATTGGTGACCAAACCCATTAATTAATTTGAATGAAATTTCACCGAATAACAACACATAATTCTACTGGACATCAAGCATGAGTACAAAAAATCAAAGCAAAACCTTTCCATATAAGACAAAAGTAAAACTCTCATTTTTTTTTTATAACTNTTTGTACTCTACTGGACATCAAGCATGAGTACAAAAAATCAAAGCAAAACCTTTCCATATAAGACAAAAGTAAAACTCTCATTTTTTTTTTATAACTACCAATTACATATTTTATCCACCTAAAAAGTAGATCTACCATATAAACTCTAGGAAAGATCATAAGTCCTCCATTCTGGAGCTTTAAATGATCAAATTCATTAATTTTAATGGTCAAGGCATGTTTTCATAGGAAATAAAATACAGCAAAATATCTTAACAAACAAAAACGATCAGACGTACGACAGACGGATTGCAAACAAAAATAATTTCTCATAATCATAATAATCGAACAGAATTGACAGAATAATGGCTCTGATACCAATTGATAGACTTTATTGAAAAATTTAATCTTCCTATTTTACATAGCGGAATCGAATACTTACCTCCTGCCATTGATATTTAAGTTCGAGAACAAGAAATCCAAATTCTCTATAGAGAGAATAATCAACGATCCCAACAAGCACGAATCCGTATCACAGCTTTGATCTTAACACTCAAGAACAATCTCAGAAAATATGTATTATACGGAGGTATATGAGAGAAGAGTTTCCTGCCTACATATATGATATCTGAATTCACATATAACTTGATGGAAAATCACAGGCATGAAATTATATATATAGGTAGAGACCTTTTTTCAATAGAAAAACTATAAGCAACGTCCTTCCATCAAGGAGTTACAATTGTTTTAAACTGTTCCATGATGGTCACTCTATCTGATGATGGGAGTAGTGGATAGTTTCTTTAACGTCAGTTACCTAAAAGAATTTGACTTAGTAAATAAGATATATATTAAACATACATAATATTTTATGNACCTTAACGTCAGTTATCTAAAAGAATTTGACTTAGTAAATAAGATATATATTAAACATACATAATATTTTATGTATTAAAAGATGATATGACATGTGGGTCATCTTAAGTCTATAATTAGAGATAGAGTCTAATATTAATTAAACATAAAGTCCGACAAAAACATGTTAGGGAAGTGTAAGGACTAACTGAGCGAGGAGTTTCTGCATGACTAGCCATGGTCTATCCTCCGGTGGCCACCATGCAGAAATCTTATACAGCCATGGTCTCTTTGGCCATTGAACCACTGGTGGATATCAAGATAAACAAAAAGGAAAGAGGGTGTCTCTCACCGCCTCCCAACCACCCC